GTAACTATTTAAATTAATATTTATAATTTATTGAGTAAAAAATTTATTAAAAATTTAATTAATATTAATTTATTATGGTTTAACTGTCATTCTTTTTTTTGCTTTCTTATTTTTTCCATGTTTTTTGAATGAGACTTCGCGTATTATTGTTGAGCACATGTCACGAATTGCTGGCTCAATGCCACAATTATTAGCGGCAGGGCCACAACGTTTACGTGGCTTCTGAATCCGGATCGCAAGCCCCATAAAAATCCAAACACAACGCCTGAAGCGAATGCCACTTGCATCTCGTTGTCACCCAGCAGAATTTATTCTTATTATTATTTTTTTGTGGAAAAAGTTTAGGCACGTTAAGTTCAGAGATTCATTAAAATCATGTTTTTAAACTCGATAAACATTTATAAAAATCCTTATAAATTATTCATTAACAAGATGCTTAGATTCAAAACGGAATTTAATCTCACAATCAACCTTATAGGTTATTATTATTTTACTATGGGGGAGCCAAAAGAACGATAAATGTCAAATACTTATATTCCCCATTGTTATGGTTGCGTGCTAACATCCGAAGGCATTGATTAAAATAAGGGCACGTACGTATAAGCGAAACAAACTACATATACTTGACATATTTATATATTATTTGGTTTTGTTTGGGAGAACCCACAAAAATGTTCACGAGAATCATATTACGATAATAATTAAAGTTATTCGATCCTGTTAATTAGATTTGTCCCCGCAAGTTGCAAAATGAATCATCGGTATTATAAAATACCGCCAGCACGCCGTCTTCTATGCGAGTGGAAATAAATATAACAAGTCAGCAGCAGTTATTTATAAGTTGAGAGAGGAATTAGGAGAAGAGGATGTGAAGGCAGCATGTAATGTAGGAGCAGTGATCTCAAGTGGGCTGTAAGTATTTTGAGGTGAGCTCGAACGTACGATCAACTTTACACCCAATATTGATTGTCTATCTTATTTGAGAATCCATCATAACATAATTATGTTTGTTAAATGATATGTCATAACTCACGTCAGTAAGTTATTCAATAGAGAGAAAGTTAAAACTAATGGTAAGAACAAAATATATATTATAAATGGATAAAGAAGCAAGAAAATCATACTAACATAACTAATAGGCATTTGAGAAATATAAACAATGTGCACACGATAGACAATAGAGTTAGGTGTTATATAGGAACAAAAATTTGCCTCACTTATCATATGATTATAATTAATGGAGATAAAATACTAAGTGAATTTAGTTGTAGGAGCATAAAAGGTAGCCAGATGGGCTAGAGGAACAAGAGATGAGTATGTGCAATAAAATTTCAAATTTAATTGAGGAGGATTTTAAAATAGACTAAATCTCAAGTACAACGAGGGAGGATCTTAAAGGAGACTAAGCGAGATCATATTTTTCTAACAAAAAACAATAACTGCAATTATTTAAAGTAAGTAAAATGAATTGAACAACATTTGATCTTGTCATTTTTAAGCAAAAGAATTAGAAAAGCATTCATAAAAAAATTCAAATATAAAAAAACAGCACGAATCAGGGAACAACTATAGGATGCGTATAAGGTCATTGAGGCGAGGCTGAAGAACCAAATAACGACGAAGAAGGAGGTCAGACGCTCGCTCATGCGCCGATCAAAGTGGGTTGGGTGGTTTGTTCTTGCGCGTGAGAGTGTGATGCAGAGCATGGCAGCCAAACTTGGGGTCAAAGCTGGTCAAAGGGTGTCAAGACAGAGGAGCTGACACGTGTCATCGAAAAATAGAGATGGAGACGACTGATGACGGAGGGCGGTAATGCTGAATTGCTGATGGTAAGAAACAATGTCACTCTTCAAAAATTAACTTTTTGTTAAAGGAAAAAAATATTCTATAACTCTAGTATCATAAAAATTATCAAAGATAAGAGAAAGAACAAAAAAAAAATATTGAAAAATGTCATCTAGAGAGTGCAATAATATACACAACGAAATATATCTTAATAATGATAAATAATATCTCTTAATAATGATATAATAAATAATGAAATATTTTAGATAATAAGAAGATCTTGCTAACAAACTCATGCAAAAAAGAATAACCTCAGCGGGTGGTTGGGGTTCCCCGCAGCTTCATTTTATATATATATATATATATATATATATATAAATTTCATACGATAGTTGTGCATGTATTATTCACTCGGGCAATGTTTAGCACGTAAAATGATAAAATGAGAAAATACATAGCCTCATTGTAATATAAAACAATCACGAGATAATGCATTTAAAAATATTTTTTTACATATTAAATATTACAGTAATTTAATTTAACTATGTAAATATGTACTATGCCTCCGGTGGCTGTTTAAATTAGAAAAAATTATATATAAGTCTTGGAGAACAAATTTAATTACAAATAAGTTGTGTAAAATTTAAAAACTACAGCCAAGTTCATTTGGACTTGAGTGTAATTTGAAATTAGGGTCAAAAGATAATAATACCCTTATTAAATATATATTATATCAATAAAATAATTTACAATTATTTCATTAGTAATTTACAACTATCACTTCAACTTTTTACAACTTTACATATCTAATAGTTCAATCCATCATGAATTCTTAAAAAGTTTAATACTAATTATTTACAATTACTTTATCATTAATTTACAAATATCACTTTAACCTTTTTATAATTATAACTTCACATACTTAATAGTTAAAAGGTTTAAATATTTGATGTAAAAATATAAAGTTACACTTGTAAAAAGTTAAAGTGATAGTTGTGAATTATTAATGAAGTAATTATACATCATTTGATTGATATAATATATTTTTAACAAGAACATTATTATCTCTGCACCTTAATTTTAAATTACATTCAAGTTTTAAAAAACTTCGTTGTGGTTTCTAAATATTATAAAACTTGTTTGTAAATAAGTGATAAGTGCATATTTTATAATTAAATAGGTATAAATTTTAGTTTGAATTTGATTATATTTATTAATATTTTATATCTATTTAATTGATATTTATATATTTTTTCCTCATCACTTAATTATAAAATAAAAAGAAATTTTAATACAAAATTCACTTATATTTTTTATCTTTATATTTTGCAGAGAAAAAAAAACAAATAGAAGAAAAAGAGAAATATATATATATATATATATATATGAGAGTCCCACATCAACAGGGAAAAAAAGAAGAAGCCTTCACTTTAACTACACTCCCTCCATCAAGAGGGAAGCATCGAATCACTTATCTAAATACTTCAAGAATTCTCTCTGAGATATTTGGAACTCGTAAAAGTATTCTGAAGGCTGAAAGCGAGATTATTGAGAAGTTTCATAAATTATAATTATTTTTTTCTACTCCTTAATTTTCTCTATGATCATTTTTCATGATTGGAGATTTTAGAACCGTTTTATTTAATTTTATTATGTGTTTTTAAATTATCCAATTGGGATAAGGATGTAGCCTAATTAGGGAGCTAATTTTCTATTTCATTTGTTTTGACTCTTTGCATTTATATTTATGAATATTTTTGCTTTTTTCAATTATATTTATTTCTCTTGTTTTTCATATTAATTTAATGACTGGCCACCATTTAATTAAGTCTATGAGTAATCTTGATGGACTGGGAGGTGAAAAGAGAACCTAGATCTAGAGAAATAAACATAAATAACTAGGTTAGAGATAGTTCTAGAAATTTATGGTGACTTAAATTATAGTTTCATAGTTTAATTAGTTGCTTGGGTATCGTGGGAATGAATTCAACACTAATTAAAAAGGAACTAATAATTTGAAAGAATATTAGGACACTTTAGGAATAGTTGTCACTATAATTGATCCGAGTCAACTCAAAAAGTAAAAACTAGGAACCTATAGGATGAATCCTAAATTCCAACGCTTCAAGTGATTGTGTTTTTATCATCATTATTTTCTTAATTTATTTTTATTCCTTATATTTTTATTAAAATTATTCATTTTATCTATTTTTCTTAAGCTATTAATTATTGACCTACATGTAATGTTTCTTTTAAATTATTCATTTATTTTGGAGAGCAGTTTTTTTTTTTTTTTGGAAAAAACAAAAGGAAAGTACTGAGAAGCGAATCCAAATCCGATGGGGAACGGGCTTCACTAGCGTCCAAGGTTTCCCAACTGTCATATGGGGGGTGCTTAACCAACCATGATCTCCCCTCTCTCACTTGGATATGTTGGGACGCACGTGCTCAGTGTAACCCCCACCCCCACCCCCACCCCTCCTCTCCCTCCTCCATCTTTCCCAGTTTCCTTGCCACCAAACATTTGTTTGGCTGCGTCATTTCATTTAGTCGGTACATTCTTCATGATTTGTTCAAATTAACCACAGCACTCGTGAATTCCATCCTCTCAGATCTGATTTCTAAAATACCAGCTTAATTTATAATACATATGTATCGTAAGTTCTCACATATAGTTGTCTCTGAATACTTGCCGTGAGTTGAGATCCAAAATGAATGATCAGTTTCCAATTACTGGTGTCTACTTATGGTGGCGAGTGGGGCCAGCTCCCATGCAGAGCGGAAGCTGACTAGGCCACAGATTCCTTCCTCCCCAAACGCCTCTCCCTCCCTCCCCCGTTCTCTGCTTTTTCGCTGGTACCCATAGTCTGAACTTGTAATGTTTGAAAACCAATCACCGTCTCTTTCCTTTACGTTGCTTGAAAACAAAACTTACAAGCCGAATTCATTCATGATTTTGGTCTGTAATAGACAGGGAGAGAGAAACGGACAGTTTGTTAATTACCAGTCCCACCCGGCACCCACAACACCCTAAAATTAATTACTTCAGAAAATACATAACGCCATATTATATTATCGATCCAAACTCATCATATAAGAAGCGAATTCAAAATGAAATATATTAAGAGACGGATTATTATTAGCCTTAGTTTTTCCCCTTTTCTATTTTTTTTTTTTAACTTAAAGATGTATAAAAATCTAATGCGAGCCACAACTTATTTCCAATAAAAAACTAGCCCGGACGTAGATTTGTATGCAAAGAAGACGAGCAACTGCCCCATCCACCACAAAGCATAAGAACAAAAATTACGAGAAGGGAAATGAAATAAGGGAGACAGAAAGAGGTGTATGAACAAATTTTATCAAGTAGGAGAGGCGAGCACATGGTGGGTGGGTGCCTGGGGGGAGAAATTTTACAAGGCGTCCACGGTTTCGCCATTGGAGGTGACCTTGGATCCAGCAGATTGAGCCGCGATCTTTTTCTTTGACGCCAGCGAGCACTTCTCCTTCCTCTCGTCCCTGTTCATGGCCTGTTGACGGCATTCCACGCTGCAGAAAGCGCTATCCCCTCTGCACAATTTCATCACACCGACACAAAATAAATCCCCAAATCCACTGTCTTCAAATCCCAAAATATACTAAGAATATGCACGTGAGCTGGAATTGAAGAGCGAACACAAATAAACTGAGAAACAGTGAGAAGAAAGGGTAACCTGTACATGTAGATGTCACGGGTGGGTACCAGTGGACGTTCGCAGAGAGAGCAGGAGCGCAGGAAGTCGGGGGTGTGAGTGAAGTCGGCGGAGTGCCTTCTATGGGTTGTTGTCAACAGAGTACTGGCGGCCGTCACCGCCCTCCGATCAGACCCATCACCGAACCCACCGCCACTCTGCCAGTTAGAATCGGTGGCGGTGCCGAGATCCGAGCTGATTTCTGATATGCTTGTGGTCCTCTTCATTGGAGGACGAGGCCTCTTCCCCAACAACATCTTCATTTCCCCTTCTTCCTGTTTTCGATAGCCAAATTAAAGCAGAGAGCTCGGTGATATTACTGCTTCTGTGGGGTGTGAGTCTGATCTGACTCTGGAAGCCGGGTGAAGAAGAAGCGGTAAAGACTAGAGATGGGGAGCTCGGGGAACATAAAACAAGAGCCCGAGACCCGGGACTGAATCTGGGTCGTTGAAATCGCAGACAACCGTCTGACGCAGACTCACTTGTGCATCAATCACCAGACTACACATAACCTCACCTGATTATTATGATTCTAAATCCTGGTCTAAATAATTATTTTCAGCAACTTTAATTATTGGTTTAAATTAATGCTTGAAGGAAATGATGGCGTAATATTCCCCCGTGCCCGAAAGTATCATGTTCTATTGTACTTTTAGCTGCTTTGCTCTAATTATTTTTCAAGTTAAAATATATAAATTTTATTAAATTTGGAGACAATTGGGTAGGATTTCTTTCACTTTTAAAAATTTAAAATTAATTTTATTAATTTTTTAATTTTTCACTACAAGCTCCTTTACAATTATTTTTTAGTTATCATACTAATAAAAATTATCATATTATATCAAAACAAGTCACAAGACATATAGCAATTTACATGGTATTAAATATAAGCTAATGTTGACATAAAAAAGGGTGGATAAAATTAAAAAAATTATTATTAGCTTAGATTAGATGTTGCGTAACCTCTACTGTTTTTTTTTTATATGATATGACAATTTCTATTAATAAAGTAAATTTAACTTTAAACTTTTAAAAATGAGAAGGGTTCTATGCAATAATTTCAAAGTTTAAATTTTTTTGTATATTTTGACCTATTTTCTATATAAAGTTTTATTGGTCTCTTGTATAAATCACTTTATCTTGATTTTTATAATTTTTGATATAAAATATCCTCCAATAAATTTAAAAAAAAGTGTAATATTTCAATTTTGAAAAAACGCTCCCCGGGCATCAAGTCACTATCTTCTAAATCTATGAATAAAATTGAAAAGTAATTTATTTTTAACATAATTTTATTTTCGAAATAACTCATCTTAGTTTTTGCAAGTTAATTGAAAGTAATTTATAAAAACAATTGGAACAGGTGCAGCATATGGTATTTTTAATCTGGTATTATGGAGTGGCTGTACTTTTTAGCGTTATAGAACCTAGGCGAGAAGCTTTCCAAAAACATATTGTACACATGCACAATTGCACACGCTATGTTTATAATTTTCTACTTCAATTCTATGTATCTTGGTATGCGTGCGCGTAAATATTGTGCGGCTGTGTGTGTGAATTTTGGATTCTTGATTGGGACTCTCTCAGTGATCGAGGGACCTTAATTAAAAGGTTGTGATCTACAGCATGGAAAATAATAATAAGAGTTACAGTTTCTTTTTTTAAAAAAAAAAATAGAATAACGAACGATGAAAGGCATACATCTGTTTAACTCTTCCTTAACGCTACTCGATCATGATATAGTTAACATTTACAATAGGGGGAGCCTCCGAGATCAAAATCTATGCATGTGCGCGGATCAAACGGATGAGTGGTTTTAAATTTTCATGTATATTTGAGCAAATTCGCTTCTCCATATGATCAAATATACTCCTTTTATTAAAAAATATAAAATATTTTTAATTAAATTTTACCTCTTAATAAAGTAATTATTTATTTTTTAATTAACTCTATTTTTTATATTTATCTCTATTAAATATTTTATAATAAATATAAAGTTATTATTAATAAAAGTACTTTTAAAAAAATAATAATTATATCTCAAAAGATTAAAAATATTTTATATTTTTAAATGAAATGAGTATGTTTCCAGCATCAACATTTGTCCTCATTCTTGCAGGCTAGCTTTTGAGGTGAAATAAAGTTATTTCAATAAAAATAAAATACAAAAGACAACTAGTTCTATTAGAGAGTTATAATAATTAATATTTTAAATTACCATAAACCTCAAACGTACAAATAAGTGAATAAAAATTGAAACTTTACACCGAGCTTGGTTCAACAAGAGCAAGAGGAATAAAGGAGAGGGAAGGAATCATTTGCATGGATTAATAATTAATTGGAGATTTTAACTGAAGCGAAAGATTCCTCATTCGTTTTAGTAAGATCCACCCTACCTTGCTCCACACACACACACGCATGCACGCGCGCGCGCGCGCACAGAGAGAGAGAGCTCCTCTCTTCTTTTTTTCTTTTTCTTTTTTTTTTTGACTTTCTTTTTTAAGCCAAACAAGAAGAAGAAAGTTGAGAAGGGAGTCATTCACTTTTGAAAAACAAATTATAATCTGATACGAGAAAGGTAGGGGGGGTTTCACCAACAATAGGAGAAGGGGATTTGAATGTCATGTACCAAACACGATGTTAGAAGGCTTTCTTTGATTTCTATCCCGAGTCATGGCTTGTTTGGTATAAATAGAAAAGAAATAAAATAAAAATGAAATTTAAAATAAAAAAATCCTTTTTTAAAATCAATGATAAATAAAAATTTAAAAAAATATTACTAAACTTTTTTCATTCCATTTAATTAAATTGAGTATATATTGAAGTGTTTTTATTTCGATATTTTTGCTTCATCGTTCATATATAGCTCCTATTGATTATTAGTTTGATTGATTTATTTACCTTCTTGTCAAAAGGAGCGGTAGATGTTTGGATTTCTGTATTTTAAAATTAAATGTGAACATATGTTTAACAAAATAAAAATAAAGCAAGAAATTACATTTTATGCATTCCTTGCAATTATTCTGTTTACACGAGCCATGGTACTTGAAATGAGTTTAGAGAAAATTGCTAAAAAGGAGCCCTTGGTAAAATTATGAAAGCAAGAAGATCAAGGTTGTTCGAGGGAACTGAAGTCCTCGGTCCTTCAAAGAATTTTCATTCAATGTTAATGTGCTCGAAGGATCTCAATCCTTTTACCCAAATAAACATTAAAATTTATTTTTAATTTTTTAACTTTATATAAAATTTTATTTTAATTTTTTAATTTTATAAAGTACTTTTTCAATCATTTAATCATAACATTGTTAGTTTTATTAATAAAATTTTTTTTACTTTAAACTTGTAAATATTGAGAATTATATTTTTAAATGTTAACAAATTAAGTTTAATTTTTTTTAAATAATAATGACAGATATAAAAATAATCATTTCAAATTCATAATATTAGTATTAAAAGACTAAAATATATTTTATAAAATTTAGAAAATAAACTAAATATAAAATTAGAGTACGAAAGACAAACTTTAACCCCAAATAACTACACCATTCCTTCTTAATTGTTATCAATTCCCCCGAGACATTCTTTCTTATTTAATGTTATGCTTTACGGAGAACCAGGGGCCGAGAAAGCGAAAAATTTAAAAAAAGAAGAGGGTTTTTTTTTTTTTTGGGGCGAGCAGAAAAAGATTGAAATTGTAACTTTTGAATGGTTGAATACAAAAACAAAGGGCGGACAGAATGGACGGTGAGAAAAGCGGGAGCATAATGTCACGGATGATATTTCCGTGACCGTGTAAAGACCAAGATAATGAACGGTCCGCTGGTTAGCCTCGCACAATATGGGTAAAGGGGGCGACATTAGCATTGGGGGTGTTCTGCCTCAGTCTTCGGACTGTGTGCACAACTGGTCGGGGGCTAGTGCCGCCTCCCTGATGAGCCCATGGCAGGGCGAAACCAGTGTGATCCGTACGTGGTAAGGCTTGTCCTGAGGATTATGGGGTCCTCCAGGACGCCGCACGGGCGCCGTGTGCTGCGCCAGACTCTCAGCCCGTGACAGAGTGGTATCAGAGCAGGACGTACTTTACTGCCGTGTGCGCGTGGGGTCCCACGTTGGGACTGGTCGGCCTCGGCACCGCTCCAGAAAGGCCTCCGAGCAGGTGGGTCCAAAAGTGGGGACTCGGGCGGGATGGTTGGCCGTTGTCGACTCCACTCCTGTTGGCTCGCGGGTGCGAGTGGGTCCGAAGAGTGCAGGACTCGGGTGGCCACTCAGCAAGTAAGCTGGTGTGTTTGTGGCAGTACTGTACGTACGATCCTTGGGCGGAGTCGTTCTCCCCTAGCACGAGGGCGTGCTAGATTGGGTGTGGGAGAATGTCACGGATGATATTTCCGTGACCGTGTAAAGACCAAGATAATGAACGGTCCGCTGGTTAGCCTCGCACAATATGGGTAAAGGGGGCGACATTAGCATTGGGGGTGTTCTGCCTCAGTCTTCGGACTGTGTGCACAACTGGTCGGGGGCTAGTGCCGCCTCCCTGATGAGCCCATGGCAGGGCGAAACCAGTGTGATCCGTACGTGGTAAGGCTTGTCCTGAGGATTATGGGGTCCTCCAGGACGCCGCACGGGCGCCGTGTGCTGCGCCAGACTCTCAGCCCGTGACAGAGTTGGTATCAGAGCTCGGTTCTACCGTTGTGCTTGAAGGAAGGTATTGTACGATGGCAACTGAGGAAGGAAACGTCGTTGGCACGGAAGCACAGGAGCAAGCTCATGCACAACAGGAGCAAGCTCACCCCAGGTCCAAGCGAGAGCGAGGCCGGAGCAGGGCACCCGCAGGTGAGTCCCTTGAACCTCGTGTTGGTAGCTTGGAATCTAACATGGAGGAAGTGAGAACTACTATAGGGGGACTCAACGATCAACTCAACAATCTCCTCCAAGAGAATGCTGAGATAACGCGGGCTGCCAAGTTGATGATTGCAGACCTTAACGATGATTTAGGGGAAGACATTCGTTCCCTCAGACGTGATCTCGCCGATCTCCGCAAATATGTAAGAGATGAGGTACGAGGTCTACGCTCTCAAATGGATGAGATTCGTCATGAATGGGATTCTCATCACTGTGTGAGTAGCCCTATTAGTGGTAGTACTTCAAACGCCACTTCTCAGGGTCTGAAAGTGCCCAAGCCGGCCATGTACAATGGGACTCGTAGTGCTACAATTGTGGAGAACTTTCTCTTTGGCCTAGAACAGTACTTCGAGGCCATGGGAGTCTCTAACGACTCAATCAGAATCAACAATGCTTCAACTTTTCTCCGGGATGCAGCCCAACTATGGTGGCGCAGAAAGCATGCCGAACGAGAAAAGGGCCTTTGCACTCTCAACACATGGGAGTTGTTCAAGTCAGAACTCCGCAAGCACTTTGTTCCCCACAATGCTGAGACAGAGGCTCGAGGTAAGCTTCGTAGATTGAGACAAACTAGTAGTATTCCTG